AGGAGTCAAGTAGACCCCAACGCTCCCCCATGGGAGAAGGCGGGTCTCGCAAAGGACGTGTGGAGAGATCGGTACACACGGCAGGCTTGCATTCGCTGTGGCCAATATGGCCATGATCAGTTTAAGTGTCGTAACAAGAAGGTGACTGACAAGATCCGGCCTACGATGGGGCAGGCGGTAGGATCCTCACATCTCGTTGGTAGCAACGTGGCTAGTTCTTCTAGCAGTGCTTCGGGAAACACGTCGGGCCAGTAGTCATAGTAGTTCCTGCTAGGGTCGAGGTGGTGGGGACACCCTCACCATCTCGAGAGATGGCCCCAGCTACTGACTCCAGCGTCGTCCCGCAAACACGTTCAGACCCATCGAGCCTCTGTTCGATGAATGTGTTCGAGTCCTTAGAGGAGCTAGAGGATGAGTGGTCTAGATCAGACCCGCTAGCTTCTTGGACGGCCCTAGTCAAAGCCCCGAAGGGTGAAATGTTCGTCAGCGAGGTTGTCATTGGCGGCCGCAAGGCCGGGGCCTATTATGATACTTGCTCGACTAGAAACTTTATCAGTCGCGCGTGCGTTGAGAGGCTGCGCTTAGAGGGGCGAGTGCATCGCCGAAGTCGACCTGTGGAGTCGACCTGTGCGAACAAACAGCGCATGGTAGTCAATGATTACCTCCAAGATGTGGAGTGTTGTTTCCCGTACGCCGGAGGGGAACTGAGACATCGCGTCTCGTTCCTAGTGAGCGATGAACTCCCCATGGACATGTTGTTAGGTATGTACTACCTCTCTGTGCCACAACCCCAGTTTGATTTGGACCGAAAAGTGGTTAAACACACTTTGCCAGGTGGAGGGACCGCCAGATTATTTTAAGTTCAAAGCTAGTAGTCTGATTGAGTCCTATGGGTGCATGTGTGCGGCCGCGTTCTATAATTATTATAAGCAAAATCAGGAGAAGGGTATGTACTTAGTTTATGTCTCTGCTGCAGGCGAGCCGGTGAAAATGGCGCCGGAGATAGAGGGAGTAGTTGCCAAGTACCCTGATCTATTTGAAGAGCCGACAGGGGTTGTAGAGAGGGAGGTCGTCCACGCGATAGAGATTATCCCAGGGTCTAGCATCCCGAAGGGTAGGATCTATCGGATGTCTCCAGGCGAGCTTGATGAGCTTCGCCGACAACTCAAGGAACTCGTAGAGAAGGGTTGGATCCGGCCGAGTGTCTCTCCTTATGGATCTCCAGTACTATTCGTACCTAAGAAGAAGGAGGGCACACTTAGGATGTGCATTGATTATAGGGGCCTCAATGCCATCACTGTTAAGAACAGAGAGCCCCTACCGCGCATCGATGATTTGCTTGATAGAGTGCAAGGGTGTCGGTATTTCAGTAAGATAGATATGAAGTCCGGGTACCATCAGATTGCAATCCGGCCCGAGGATCAACACAAAATCGCCTTTCAGACTAGGTACGGTCTGTATGAGTTTCTGGTGATGCGTTTCGGCCTTTGCAATGCTCCTGGCACCTTTCAGCACGCTATGAATCGGATATTCCATGACTACTTTGACAAGTTTGTCATCGTGTACCTCGATGACATACTTATTTTTAGTAAGACTGTCGAGGAGCATGTGGCACACTAGGACAAAGTCCTCAGTCTCCTGCGTCAACACAAGTTCAAGATTAACGGTGAGAAGTGCGAGTTTGGCCGCACCCGTGTCTTGTACTTGGGTCATGAGATATCCGCAGAAGGGTTAAAGCCCGATGACGCGAAGGTGGCCAGCATTCGTGATTGGCCACGTCCTCAGTCTGTGACTGAGATGAGATCTTTCTTAGGAATGACAAGCTACTATAGGACTTTTGTTAAGAACTATAGCATAGTGGCCGCTCCTTTGACTGATCTGACCCGCCTTGACACCCCATGGGAGTGGACAGATGAGTGCGAGGCTGCTTTCAGACATCTGAAGCATGCGTTGACGCACTACGAGGTCTTGGAACTTCCTGATCTTGATAAGCCGTTTATAGTCGCCAGAGATGTCAGCCAATACGGCATTGGCGCCGTGCTCGCGCATTAGGAGGGGCCAAAGTTAAGGCCTGTAGAGTACATGTCCAAGAAAATGTCGTCTCAGAAGTTGGCTAAGTCCACCTATGAGAAGGAACTCTATGCAGTTTACAAGGCTCTGACCCATTGGAGACACTATCTCCTTGGGAGGTTCTTCATCCTCAGGACTGATCATCAGACCCTGAGATGGATGAGAACTCAGCATGTACTCTCTGACGCCCTCAAGCGTTGGATCGAAGTCATTGAGCAGTATGACTTCGACCCTCAGTATCTGAAAGGGGAGTACAACAAGGTTGTTGGTGCCTTGTCGCGTAGACCTGATTTCTCAGGTGCGCTGATTACCGAGTTCAAGCTGATGGACAATGTTACTCAGTCCTTGGTGGAAGCCTATCGTGAGGATCAGTTCATGTCTGAGATCATACGCAGGCTTGAGGCGAAGGACAAGAAGACCTCTGTCGAGTTTGAGTTGGTCAATGGCTTGCTAATCCTTGAGAAGGCAGGGAATAAACGATTGTGTGTCCCGAATAGCGAGTCTTTGCGTAGTTTGTTTTTACGAGAGTGCCATGACGCCACCGACCAATTTTGGGTATAAGAAAACCGCAGCCAATCTGCTGCAGCGGTTCTGGTGGCCCACAATGATGCGAGACGCCCAGCTGTACGTGGAGACTTGTCAGGTCTGTCGAAGGGACAAGCCGCGTACTCAGGCTCCTCTTGGGCTGCTGAAGCCCCTTCCGATATCGGAACGGCCTGGTGAGAGTCTGTCCATGGGCTTCATGGATACCCTGGTCAACAGCAAGAGTGGGATGTGACACATCTTCGTCATCGTGGATAGATTTAGTAAGTATGCTAGGTTAGTAGCTATGCCAGAAACAGCAAGGACGAAGTATGTGATCAGGATGTTCAAAGAGAACTGGGTCAGAGACTTCGGTTTACCGAAGTCTATTATCAGTGACTTCGGTTTACCGAAGTCTTTGTCACAAGTCCCAAATAATCCCTCGTTGCAATGTCTGAAGCCAAAAGTCGAGTCTGGATCCAATGTCACCAAGCTCTCTCTCTCTTCTCTCGTAGTCTGCTGATGCAGTGAAGTCAGACGATGAGAGGGTGAGAGGGAGATGGTGGACTGAGAAGAGGAAGAAGAAGTACTCTCTCTCTCTCTGTTACGAGCCAGGTACTAACCTGTGAAGTTGGCGCTGTGATGCAGGTACCTCGAAGACGAAGCTGGAGCAACGGCGCTGCAGGTAGGTACCTCTGGCCTCCGCCCAATCTCTCTCTCTCTCTAGTGCTATCCTAGCTATGGCGCCCAGCGCTGGAGACTACAGATACCTACTGTGCCCAGCGCTGAAGACTGAAGGCTAACGCTACTACTACTCCTGCAGCACTCCCTCCAGAGTGCTGCTGCCGAATCCTGAAGACTACTGCCTCCTGCCTGCCCGTGAAGTGCATGGGAAGTCCCTCTGTACTACCTCGGCCTGCCTCCTGACTGCCTGAAGGGCGAGCCAGGCCGAGGAGGCTGCTCTTGCCAGTGCCRAAGTGTGCCAGGGGCTGGCGCTGCAGCATCTGCTGAGGCTGGCGTGGGAACAGGCTAAGAATAGCCTGTTCCCGAAACCCTGGTTCGGTGCCTGAGTTTCAGGGCCGGTCGTTCTGATGAACGACCGAAAATGGCCCTTCGTTTCAGGCTAAAAAGGCTATTGCCATTTTTAGTCTGAAGCGACACAGGGACTGCAGGCCCCTGTTTTCAGGCTTTCGGGCTGAACAGTCACGGGGCCTGTAGGCCCTGGTTTTCAGGCTTTCAGCCTGAAGGACACAGGGCCTGGAAAATGGCCCTCGTGTGCAGGTGCAGCATGTAACACCCCCCCTTCCTTATGAAGTCATGCCGGGCCGAGGGCGAAGCCGACGATCTGAAGGTGGAACCTGGACGAAGGCGCGGCGTGGAGCCGAAGAAACCGGCTTGCCTTGCATCTTGCGTTCGTAGCGTGCGAGAACTTCTGGAGCTGTTGCTTGAAGTTTCGCACGGGTCAACCAACGGTCAACTCGGTGTGTGCAGTATGCAAAATGCACCAAATACTCGGTTGGCCTGTTCCCGTAGCGTCGCTGGGAGATAATGTCGCCGACCTCCTGAAAACCGTCCATGGAGGGTGGGTCTTGCGAACGTCTCCCGGGAAAATCGTCATGTTCCGCTGGCGTGTAAAGAGCCAACTTGGAGCAATGAAAGACTGGGTAGACGGGCAAGTGGCCGGGCACCTGAATCGTGAAGGTCCCTCGGGTGCGTCCTTAGCAGGTGCTACGATCGGCCAAGGCCCCATCCATTTCGGGAGGAGCTTGCGAGAGATGTCTTGTTCAAGGCTGAATTCCGCTGCGGAAACCCACACGAAGTCGCCGGCGCGGAATGGGCAAGGAAGACACTGGCGATTGGCCTGCTGGCTCATGTGTTGCTGCGTCTTAGCCATCTGGTCGCGTGCCTTGACAAGAAGCTCTTGCATCCGACGCAAGAAAAGAAGATGGTCGTCGCTCTCGGCCGTTCGTGGAGTAATAGTGTCCAACGGTGAAGTGACCGGCGAGCCGTGCTTGAACTCGAAAGGCGATATCCCGATAGCCGGGTGGATGGAAGAGTTGTAGGCCAACTCGACATCCGGCAGTCGCTCAACCCAGTCCTTCTGGTCAGGACAAATGAGAGTGCAAAGGAGAACCTGTGCGAGCCCTCTCCGTTTGGCCATCGATCTGGGGGTGGCGAGTTGAACTGGGCTTAAAAGATAAGCCCCATCGCTTGATGAGCGCCAACCAAAAATCGGACATGAACCGAGTGTCGCGGTCGCAGACGATTTCCTTGGGGTAACCCTTGGTTCGAATCCAACCGGTGTAGAGAACCTCGGCCAACTCCGGTGCCTTGGCATGATAGCGACAAGGTAAAAACATGGCGAACTTGGTGAGTCGGTCGACCACCGTGAGAATCCCATCCACTCCAGTCTTGTGCTTGGGGAACGGGCCGGTAATGTCCATGGCAATCGCTTCTCTTCGCCTCAACGGGACCGGTAATGGTCGTAACTCGCCGTACGGACGATGGTTGCGAGATTTGCAGCGTCGGCAAACCTCGCATGACTCGCAATAGCGCGTGACGTCGCCGAGAAGGTCGGGCCACCAAAATCGCTTGCGGAGTCGGCCAATCGTGCGATTGACTCCAAAGTGTCCGGTGGCGGGAGCATCGTGGAACTCGCGAAGAAGCCGTGTACGCAAGTGAGGATCACTCGGTACGCAAAGAAGGTCCTTCCCCGCGTGTGGACAAGCAAGTACCCCTTTTGGATCCGGTAGTGAGAAGGCACTGGATTAGGAGAGGAGCAATTTGCGTACTTATTGCGAAACTCGGGGTCGGCTTGGTAGCCGCGGATGAAGCTGTTCCGCAGGTCATCATCGATCTCGAAGGTTGAGTAGACCGCGGTACAGTGATTCGGAAGCCGTGAAAGAGCATCCGCAAAACGGTTCGACTTCCCGGGAATGTGATCGGGAAAGAAGTCGAACTGGTCGATGAACGTCATCCATCGAGCGATGGTGCTGTTGACGGTGTCTTGGGTCTTATAGAAGACCAATGGATTGTTGTCCGTTACCCATCGGAATTGACTTCGACCAAGGAGGAAGTGCCGCCACCGCTTGAGCGTGTGGACGAAGGCGAGGAGTTCCTTCTTGCGTGCATCGTCAATGGAATGCACGACGGGCACTTTCTTGCTGAAATACTCGACCGGATGCCAGTCCACACCATCATGTTGCTCGAGGACTGCACCAATGCCATGGCCTGACGCATCCGTAGTGACGCGCGTAGGCAAAAGCGGGTCGTATATCCACAAGACCTCCACAGACAATAGCGCGGCTTTGAGAGCCAAGAATGATTCCCACGCCTCCTCTCCGAAGTCAAACGGCCGATCCTCGCATTGAAGCTTGGTCAAGTGGGCCGCGATCTTTAAGTAGCCTTTGATAAAACGCTGGTAGTAGCCGGTGAGGCCAAGGAACAAACGAACATCCGTGATGTTCTGAGGCTCCGACCACTCTTGGATGGCCTGAATCTTGTCCGATAGCGGACTGATGCCCTCCGGTGTGACAAAATGTCCAAGTATTCCAGCTCTTGCCGAACAAATTCGCACTTGTCGAGGTTGGCCTTGTACCTGGCGCGGCGGAGCGTCTCCAACACTCGTCGAAGATGCCCAAGATGATCCTCCAATGACCGGCTATAGACGAGAATATCGTCTAAGTAGACCAGCACAAACCGGTCCAACATTGCACGGAACTCATTGGTCATTGCCGCTTGAAAGGTCACCGGGGCGTTGGTGAGGCCAAAAGGCATGACCACCTACTCAAAATGCCCGTACCTCGTCTTGAACGCGGATTTGTAGCCATCGTTCGGCCGGATCGAGATTTGATGATATCCCGATTTCAAATCCAACTCAGCACGAACCGGTCCAACATTGCATGAAACTCATTGGTCATTGCCGCTTGAAAGGTCGCCGGGGCGTTGGTGAGGCCAAAAGGCATGACCACCCACTCAAAATGCCCGTACCTCGTCTTGAACGCGGATTTGTAGCGATTGTTCGACCGGATCGAGATTTGATGATATCCCGATTTGAAATCCAACTTAGAAAAATACTTTGCGCCGCCCAATCGCTCAAGAAGATCGTCGATGCGAGGAAGAGGCCCCGCATTCTTGACGGTTTGCGCGTTGAGCTTGCGGTAATCGATACACAATCGTAGATCCTTGTTCTTCTTCCGAACGAAGAGAACTGGTGCTCCATATGGGGAGCTACTAGGGCGGATCCAGCCCTTGGCCAACAAATCGTCGAGTTGTGCGCAGAGGACCTCAAGCTCCTCCTCGCTCATCTGATAGATGCAACCTTTCGGCGGTACGGCACCGGCCTCAAGAATGATCTCGTGAGAGATCGGCCGATCCGGCACCACACCGGTAGGTGACTCGAAGATGTCGGTGAACTCGTCCAGCAACCGCACCACCCGGGGGTCCGAAGACAAGTCCATGGGTGAAGAGTCGGCTACCGCGACGGTCTGTAGGAAACATAGGCCGATCTCCTCGGGCTGCTCGTAAGCGCAAGTCGCCCGGAATGATTTGGTCGTCACCACTTGACACCGAATCGAAGGGTGCGGTAGAGGAATAGTACACGCCACTTCCGCGCCGAAGGCGTCGCGAACGCTAAGAGTCCGCCGGCGGAAGTTGACCGTGTGATCCGCACTTGCAAGCCAAGGCATTCCGTGAATGATGTCGAAGTCTGTGTCGAGAATGTCGAACGTCACCGGTTCGCATGCATGAGGTGCGAAATAAACAGGTACGGCCTCGATGTAACAGTCGAGAAGTTGCTGCGTTTTCCCATCCGCCAACTTCATCGCCGTCGGGTTTGCCTTCCTCCGAAGTTGTGCGCCAAGGCCAGCCCTTTGCATAAAGGATTGGCTCATGAAATTGCGAGACGAGCCGCTATCCAGCAAAGCACTGCAGGGCGCTTGCCCAACCTGGATGCGGACATACATGAGCGGTGCGTTGTTGTCTTCGTACCGCTGCTTGCAAAACTCGCGGGCCACCTTGGTAACATACGCAAGGATGTTCCCCACCGCGACTTCGTCATCCGTTGGCAAAGTTGGTGGTGCATAGAAGGACAAGTACATGTGGAGATGAGCGCATAGTGCTGCGCATTGCGGTCCCGACAGGCGGCCCGTGGTCGGGAGAGGAAGCCATGCATGTGAGCAGGTCCAATACCTCTATGTTGGCATAGTCCTCGGACGTGAGCGGGTCCAATACCTCTATGTTGAACTCGCACGACGAATCCCGTGAAGAACCACTTGAAGACGACAAGTCGCCGCTGCCGGATGGAGAAGATGCCGCACACACGTCTTGTCCTTGAGCTTGAGTACCCAGCGTAGGAACGAGCCGGGCAGCATAGTCCTCAAAAGAAAGTAGAAGAGGACTATCGACTTCCGCATGCGCCTTGGAATGAAGGCTGGTTACTCGCTAAGAAATCGGTTCCAGAGGCGCCGAGAGTGTCGTCGAGTCACTCTCGGCGGTGCTCAGTTTCCCTGTTTGCCCTTGCCTTTCAATGGGCAGGCCAGTGTCTGATGAAGATCACTGTCGCACCATAGGCAATAGTGGAATCTCGTGCGCTCGTTGAATGCTTGCTCGGAGATGCCGTATTGGGACCAAGGGGCTGGAGCTGCTGCGCCGGGGCCGGGGCTAGATGTGGTGTGTCTTCGTCTTGGTCCTCGGCCTTTGCCGGGGCGCCCACCTTCCCGGGCGGCTGCGAGTCTGTCCCCTTCACTAGCAGACACAGCCTCGCTGGTTTGGTCAAACGGCGTTGCTGCCGCGACCACGACCACTCTTGGTCGATGCTGGTCCCTGCTCGGGCCTGCCGCAGACGAACGCAGGTTCTTAGCCTCCTTGTTCGTAATGATAATCTAAGCGGCCTTGTCAAAAAGTTTTGCCGTTGTTGTCCTGGTGTCCTCGACGTGAGTCAGGGCATTGCTTAATGTCGGACATGACCTTGAGATGAAATAGTGGCGGATGGCTTTGAAGCCCATCTGGAGGTTTGGGACTGATGTCAAGCGTTGGTACTTGGCAATCCAGTCGGTACTCGGCAGCGTGCCCTGCTCAAAGACCATGAGCTTGTCCATAGCCTTTATCTCCGGTGACTCGACTTGGAACCGCTTGTGCCACGCCGCCTTTTAGATCATCCCAACTGATCTTGGTGTGCAAGTCGGCAGCTACCACTCCATACTTGGACAAGAGATTGTCCAACCAAGCCTGGCACGCGCCCCCTGAGCGAGAGTATAAGTATGCGTGGTGCTTGTGTTCTTTGACGTTGTGTAGCTGCAGCGTGAGCTCGAACTTGCGGAACCATGGAATCGGATCTGTCTTCTAGTCGCAAAAGATCTCCTGCCCGTCAAACTTTGGAGCTGTCTCGCGCAGTTTCGAACTTGAGGTGTTGGCGGTAGTACAGATCCGTTGTTCCAACTGTTGCGTTCGGTCTGCTGTAACTGCACGCCGTCCTTCAGGGAGCCG